CCCCTGACACAGCAATTTCGCCACCTGACGCAACAATTTCGCCGCCTGACGCGGCAAACTCGCCCCCTGACGCAGCAAATCAACCCCCTGACACAGTTATTCACCCCCGAAAGCAAAATTCGCACTATAAAATGTTTCAGTTTCTAATGAAACAAAGGAAAAGTACATGGAAAACCCCCCTATAGGGGAAAGGGGGGGGGGGTCTTGTATTGATCACCCCCCAAAGGGGGGGTATAACAAAATCAAGGTTTAATAAAACACCCCCCCTGTATTAGGTACCTAGGGGTGTTGTGTTTTGGGGAGGGCTTCTATCCGGGGGAATACAGTATTCCATGTTATGTCTAATCCCAAAGCAGTTGCAGTGTGGTAACAACGACGTGCACGAACCCACTTGCTGATGTTGTCCTTCTATCTTGCTCATACGACTTGCCCACAATCTGGTTCAGGCATCTGGCTTAGGCTATGGATGGTACGCAGATGACATTAGAAGGTGCCTCCCATGAGCATCATGAGCTCCATCTAAAAAATGATGGTCCATTTCGGGTCCATGCTGAGCATGGAAAGGATCTCATGCTGCGAGGTTATATGCTTGACAAATAGTTGTGTTATGTCCTCCCCATGCCCCCACTAGCCATGAAGGATCTTGGAAAACTGACGAACAAATTGGGCATAGAATCATACGTAATCGAACGATTGACACCATCAACTTTTCGCAACAGCGTCCTACTTTGTATCCGTAGACCATAGTTGTTCCCATAGCGCCATTCGTACAAACTGTTCTAACGTTGCCATTTCTTTTAGATTGAATGATTCAATTTGCTAATTGCATACGACATTGTGACGCTCCATGTGCAGTTTCAGCACGTCTTTTGGTGCTGTGACCATTCTGCTATCAAATTTCGAAGCTGATCGGAAGAAATCCATTAGTGCACTTTAACTATGTCATATTGAAGCCTAATGTGACTATAACAATAGCACTTTAGAGCCAACAACAAGTTTTATTACAGCCCACTCAACAAATATCCCATTCCTTAACCACATCCCACCCTCTCACCCATAATGCAGGTCGAGTGGCCCCTTTTGTGAGATCCTCACAAGAGAATGAAAGTGCATTCCGGTCAAACAAGACTAGCTATGATGAGTGGTGCTCCAACAATCAGCAATTGGTCGGAGCCGACGCCGACGCCGACTTGGGCAAGCTGGTCGACGAGTTGGTCGACCTGCATGGGGACACTTCGATGCCGCCGACTTTGGGACGCCGTCGGCCGACTTGGTGTGGTAGGCTGATAGCTGGGCTGGTCGACCTGGAGCTGGTCAACCAGGGGTGTGGTCGACTTGGTGTGGTCGATTGGTGGTGGTCGTTGACCAGGGCGGTCGATGGGCACGAGGAGGAGGAGCAACTAGTCAACGTGGTTGCCTGGTCGACCTGGTTACCCGGGCGACGGGGTCTTGCGGAGGTGCACGATAGTCGCCCAGGTGGTTCTGGCAAAGCCGACCTCGGTGGTGGTATCCCGAGGTCGACGTGGAGGATCAGGTGCAGTCAACAGCACGTAGACGATTTGGTGTCTGCGCTGTGCAGGTGACGAGGCACAGCACGCCAATCAACTGCGAGCACCCGCGAAGCGGGTGCGCTGCTGTCCTGCGGGTGCAACGCTGTGCAGCCACCTTGCTTCAGCGTTGGCACACCGTCGACTTGCAGCATTGGCAGACCGCAACTTTGCACTACTGGAGCCTGGTTGACCTTGCAGTGCTGGAATGCGGTCAACCGTGCTGCGCTGGCAGTGGACCTGCATGCTTGCTAGCATCTGATGTAGTCTTGCTTGCCAACTTTGTTGCTATCATTGTTGTGAACTTTTGCTAGTGAAACTTGCCAATTTCCTCCGTGAATGCGCAAGTAGAGAGAACACAAGCGAACGACTAAGGAACGCTGCGATCACCCTACCCCGTGCCTTCCCCGTAGTCTAGCTCCCGTTGTAGTAGTTATCTTCGCATGGTGCGGTGAGCGTGGACGGCCCCGCAGATACCTTTAGAGTAGTAGCCGGCTTTTGCACATACTAAGTCGTTCGTAGGCCAGCAGCACGTGTGACCATGTCGCCCGTCTCGGTAGTTCCCGGCGCGGTAGAGGATAATCTGGAGACACGCTTGGCTGATGCAAGGAGACGCCACGAGGCTGGAGAGTTCGGGCTGATCCTTCCCTTGGAGGTCGTCTAGCTGGGCATCCGCGCAAAGTGGGCGACGGAACACCCTTCCCAACCTGTTTCTCCTCGACCGTTGAACAACGAAGGTGGCGTCGACAATGGCGTCGACGTCGGTGACCAAGTCGGCAGCAGTGCGGGAGGCACCTCGAGGCAGAGAGGAGTGATTCACGCTGGTGAAGTCGGAGGCGTTCAGGCACGAGGGCTGCAGTCTTCGACGGCTGCGAAGCAGTGTGACGCCATCGTTGGCGACCGACGTGACGGCGGGTGGGATAGCACCAACATACAGGTACTTTAAGTTCACGCTGGACAATATCGCCGTCCCCGTGCCGCTAGTAGGTTGACATGACCTCCTCACCTGGAAGGAGGTCATCGAGCCCCAGCTGGAGATGGACGGCCTGATGTGCTTCGCCGACGGTAGCGTGGAGACGCCGCCGGAGTCCAACGCCAAGCTGCGCGCAGAGTTTCGCGCCGTGCATCTGCTTACCTTCATGGTCATCTCGCGGTGCTGCTCGCCGGTGGTGCAGATCGCCCTGAAGTCGAGCCGGGGCTTCTTGGACGCTGGCCACCAGGCGTGGCACTTCATCACGTCGATGTACCAATGTCAAACTATAACTGTTATAGTTTGTATTGTTTAGTCTAAGTGGTGTGCACCTTGGTTAGTGCTAGGGTTAGGTTTGTTATATCTAGCCTTGTACTTGCTCATTCTAGCCATTCATTCTTCCAATTCTATCTTTGACATGGTATCGAGCTTAGTTCGTTCCCATGGGCCCACCTTCGCACGCCCCGTTCGTTGCTCGATAGCCCCCCCGTAGCGCGCTCGCCGCCCGTTGGTTTGCTTGTTTAGGGTTTCACATGCTAGCCGCTCGGTAGCCGCCCATTAGCCGCCCGTCCGCTGTCCGTTTGCCATCCGTTCGCTGCCCGTTGCCTACAACGCCCTCGGCAGGTCCCACGCCCCCCACGGGCCTTCGTCCGTCCCATAGCGCGACCCCCACGGGCCTTAGTTTTTCCCTTAGCTCGGCCCTTCCGGGGGCGCTCCCGTTCGTCCTTAGCGCGGCCCCCGCGAGCGTTTTCGTTCGTCCTTAGCACGGATCCCGTGGGCGCTCTCATTCGTCTCATCGCGCCCCCCACCACCCCCCCCCCCCCCCTCCCCCCCCCCCCCCCCCCCCCCCCCCCCCCCAGCGGGTGTTAGAGACTAAGGACGGAGTCTATGAAGATTAAGGGCCGAAATATCTCAAAATCGTCAACTATAATTCTGGACAGAATTTTTTTCGTCACAAGAAATGTCGTCAACAAAAAACTCACTGTTGCAGATCTCTCAAACTCAAGTATATTGTAGCCATTGACCGTGGCTATCTTTCCCAATTTGAACTGTATCCAAATATGTTGTATAGCTCGAGTTATGAATGTCAGCGCACTAGGGGGTATGCTGCCATAGAAACTTAACTCAATCACAATTTACTCATAAGTTGACACAAGAAAGTTAGAGTAGCAAGAACCAGGTAGAAGGGGATGAGGAGGACGAGAGGGAAGGTCCCTAGGGAGTCCCCAACCAAGGAAACCCCATACCACACAATTCCCCTCTCTATAGGCACCCCAACTTTGACATTTGTCACTTTCCCAACCCATGCCATCCACCTCACCCAACTTGGCCACACTTGCCAACCTGGTTTGGTTTCTCCAAAACCACTTGGCATCATCTACAGTAGTAGTGACGAATTTCCCAACCCCCAAAAGTCTATACCCCATATTGAGTCACTCCGCAAATTCCCGTAGTCGCTGCATCTCAATCAAAACTTCGAACGATCATATCTTTCTCGTTCTTGCTCCGATCGCGACGATTCTTGGTTCGTTGGAAAGCTCTCGAGCAGAGAAGTCACTTCAGATATCTGCTCAAGCAAAATAACATTCACACACAGTCAGAAAATCCAAACTACACCAAACACAGATTCTTGTACACACCACGCATGCAACGCATGAACATATGATGGGAGGCAGACAGACGTGAATGCAAATGATAGCATCACATAACAGCGGGCCCTTACATGCGTCCCATCATACGCCTTCCCCCCCCTCCTCCGCGCCCCCCCCTCATTTGTCTTGTTGTGCGTCCCCCCCTCCGCACCCCGTGGCCACTCTTTCGTCCCGTAGCGCGGCTCCCCCCACGGGCACTCTTGTCGCGACCTAGGTCGCGCGTCACCCGTCGCCCGAGGCGCCCGTCGCCCGTAGCGCCCGTCTTCGCCCGTAGCGCACGTCGCCCATCGCGCCCGTCACGCCCCTTGTCGCCCGCAACCCTATTTTTTCGCCCGTCGCCCGTAGCGCACTTTCACGTAGCCGCGCCCAAGCGACCGCAGACGCGTAACCGCGCATACCCATTCGCACGCGCCCCTTTCCTAGGCCGCCTGCGTCCGTTATCTTGGCCGCCTCCGACCTACATGATTTATTAAGAATTATTAATTAATCAAAAGGAGAGAGGAGAGAGAGAGAGAGAGAGAGAGAGAGAGAGAGAGAGAGAGAGAGGCCTAGTCCTTAGCCTCTCCAGCCCTCTCCAGCCTAGTATAAAGGCCCTAGGACCTTGTCCTAGAGCCTCATTATTCAGTTCTGGGTTCATTTTGCTCCCCTAACTGAGCGGCTTGCGCCGGCCGCCGAAGGCGGCCGTCGCTCGACAGCGCGGCCTTCGGCCGCGCGTGAGGGGCGGCAAGAACAAACACACGCAACAGATACTAAGCAAGGACATACACGCAATGGCAGTTTCAATAAGCAACTAGACAGGCAAGGCATCAATGGGGCAACCGGAGCCCGCGTCTACATGCGGTGTGCTCCAAGGGCGTGAAGAACGCCCGTCAGGGAGCGCCACAGCTCCCGGACCACAAGCGTGCTTGCGCCGATCGCCGCGGCTCCAGATCCTGCGCGCAAGTGCCGCCTCAAGCCCCGGACGGCTTCGTCAAGCTGTCCCGCAGCAGCAGCGCCACCCTCCACGGGCGCAGCCAGCACGGGCACCAGCAGCACCGCGAGCTGGTCCGCCGCGTCTAGGCACGAGTCACGCTGGCGGCCACGGAAGGTCTCAGGAGGGATCACAGGGAGAGACGAGTGGGCCAGCACCTGAATCAGCAGCAGAGCGTGGAGACTGTCAGCAAGGTGGTGTAGCTGTCCGAGAGTCGCCTCGGGAACACGGGTCTGCGGAGGTTGGAGTGCCTCCGCCAGGAACTGGAGCGGCTCATCAGCATCACCAGGGAGAGCGAACGGAGCCGCCAACGAGCCGCCACCTGCGGCCACAAATTCCACTCCCGCAACAGGCGGAACCGGTGGCAGATGGAGACGAGAGCCGGGAGCAGGCGCCGATACAGCGGGAGAAGGACCTGGCAGCGCCTGGACCTGGGGGGGAGGCGCAGCAACAGGCTGCGGGTTTGGGGGGAGCGCAGCCGGACGGGGAGCCTCGCGGGCTGGCAAGGCGCGCAGCGAACTGCTCTGGCCCTGCGCCGCCCTCTCCTCCCGAACCGCCCTCGACACTTCCCGCTGAAGATCCGCCATCGTCACAGGCGGGCGATACCCCCCACCCCCGCCACGAGCACGGGAACCCCTCCAATCCCCTTGACCCCCGGGGCGAGCAGGCCAGCGCGACTGTTGCTGGTACCGCCGTGGAGACTCACGCCGGCGACGAGATGATTCGCGTTCCTGGTGGGGAGCGGGGGAATGGGGCCGCGACGAGCGACGGTCAGGCGACGGAGGGCGTGACGGTTGGCCTGCAGGAACTACCGCCGTCACCGCGGGTGCGGACTGACCCGCCGTCGCAGGCGCAACCGACGGAGCCGGTTCGCCAGTGGTGGCGGACGTCGCCTTTGGTGACAAAGCAGAGGCCTGCGCAGGCAGGCCGGGGGCAGAAGCGTTCGGCGCAACACGGGCGCCAGGGACAGGTGCAGGGGGTTCAGCAACACCCCCAGCAGGAGCAGAGGCCGACGGCTCGACAAGGGGAGCCAGGGAGCCCGGTGACGCAGGTGGAGCAGACGGGACAGCAGTGGGAGCGGCCGGGCCAGCCTCTGCCCCGGCAAGGGGAGCCGCGGGTGCGTGGGGAGGAGTCTTTTCAGAGACTGCTGTCACGTGCTTCTGAGCCGGCGGTAGAGGGGGCTCCGTCGCCATGGTCGCCCTTTCGGGCCCCGCCGGAGGCCTGGCGACCACAGCCGACCAGGCGGCAGCGAGCCCTAGCGACGGCTTAGGTGCTCCGGCAATCACCATCTCGAGAGCAGGGAAGCCGTGGGGCGAGGAGAGAAACCGTAAGCGGAACGGGCGGAGGACCAGAGAATGGGTATCAGGTGGCGGCGAGAAGGGCTTTAACGGCATTAGCAGCAACTAATGAAGAAGAAGATCTAAGGGACCCATCTTATAGGGAAGTATCCCTCCCACCAAGCAAGGACGAGGAATCGGAGGGAGAAGGCAGGGTGAGAGAGGCAGAAGGGAGACGAGAAAACGAGGTGGGCCGCTCAACCATGTGAATACCGTAAGCGGATCAGCGACCGTCAGATGCTGATCGGACGGGTGGCAATCAAACCACCGACGCACCAACACGGGCGAGCCGCGGTCGACGAAATCGAACCGCCGCTGCCAACACCGCGACACACCAAACCATTCTGAACCCCCGCTACTTTTCGCCAGACGAGCTGGCGAGACGTGATGACTTGTTCGCGGCCATCGCATGCTGGGACATTGCAGCTCTCTGCGACAGTCGACAGCCTCCGCTGTCACGGCGTTTACCGCCAAATCTATGCCAGCTGTTTTCGCAGGCGCTTCTGACACCGTTACTCCACCTCTCACGAAATCCCGAATCCGAATCGAGCTGGCGTCTGCTGCTATTTCTCCCTCGCCTAACACTTCGCCAAGCCTCGCCACAGCGACCAGACTGGCCGGGGGTCAAGGCCCGGCTCCGAGCTTTCCAGCGTGGCGAATGGGAACAGCTGTACCTGGACACGGTGGACGCGGTCAATACACCCCCACCGCCACGACACCAGCCTGACGCGACCGGAGTCATCAGCCGAGCTGAGGGGCTCGCGAAACGGGGGAGTCTATGCCGAGCCGTGCTGGCACTGGAGTCAACGCCGGTCTGCACCCCCAGCCCGGAAATATTGGAGGAGCTTCGCCAGAAACACCCACCTGCTGTACACGAGGCGGTGACCTGGCCTGTGCCACCCGAGTCGAAACTGTCCATCCTCCATGCTGAGTTCGCCAAAATTCTAGGAAGATGCGAGAACGGAGTGGGAGCCGGACCGTCGGGAACAACATTTGAGCACATGCGCGACGCGGCCACCACTAACGCCATGATTAGCACCCATCTGCACGCCTTGGTCAACACTCTGCTGGGGGGAAATTTGCCAGGCCCGGTCGCAAACCTCCTGACGGCGTCGCGGCTGATTGCCCTGGCCAAGCCTGGGGGAGGGGCCCGGCCAATAGCGATAGGCGAGTGTTTGACAAGGTTGACAGCCAAGGCAGCCCTGACAGCCATGGGAGAAGCTGCCCGTGAATATTTCCTGCCGCTTCAGTACGGTGTGGCAGTGCCAGGTGGAGCAGAGACGGTAATCCACACAGCCAGGGCATTCCTGGATGCCCGCCCCAACAGCCTGGTCTTGCAAGCGGATATTTCAAACGCTTTCAATAGCATCTCGCGACATGCCATCGCCACAGCGTTACACGACCCCAAACTCTCGCCACCACAGCCGTTTGTGAAATTGACCTACGGTAACCCGTCGCAACTGCTCCTGGACGCGAAATTCAACTGCGAACCACTGCACAGTGAACGGGGCGTGCGGCAAGGGGACCCACTCGGCCCGTTACTGTTTGCAGCAGGGATACACCCCACGCTACGTGACACTGCAGAAGCACACCCCAACGTCCTCTGCTTGGCGTATGCGGATGATGTCACCTTCCTGGGTGACACATCCCGCACTGTAGCTGCCTTCATGTATTTCACAGCCAGACTAGCGCAGCTGGGCCTGACATATAATCCGCAGAAATGTGCGGCTTGGAGCTCAACCACAGTCACACAGCATCAACTTCCGCCTGGGGTGCCATTTTCCAAGGACGGAGTCCGGCTTCTAGGTAGCTACGTTGGGACTGACGCTGGTGCAGCCGGGTTCCTTTCGGGCCAGTTAGGAGAGATGGCAAGGCCGTTACCGCTGATAGAACGAGCAGACCCCCAGGTGGCCGCACTGCTCCTCACGCGATGTATTTCTAGGCGTGTAGCTTACCTCATTAGGACGACCCCCCTCCATCTACTCCCACGCGCCACCTGGAGCCAGTGGGGCAGGGACTTGCTCATTACCTTACTCACCTCATGCGACATCCGCGCACCAACATGTGGTGCCGAGCAAAAGCGGGTCTGGGAACAGGCGTCATTGCCGACGTCGCTGGGCGACATAGGCATCACGGACCCGCTTACGGAAGGAATCTACGGTTTCACAGCGAGTTTCACCCAAGCGGCACTATTTCTATCCTCCCTCGCGCTAGAACCAGAAGGTGCTTTGACGATGGCTAAGAACCACATGCTGGCGCCCCGGGAGAGCAGCACCCCCTTACACTCGTGGCTCACATAGTGCGAAGCAGCCCTGCCCCTCGACGCACGGGAGATCCTGGAGAAGGAACGGCTAGAGCGATCGGATGTTAGGCTCCAGCACGTGCTCGGCTTGAAGGTGCAAGGGAGCAGATACGCTGTGCAGGTCCAGGCAACTAGGCACATGCAGCCGAACCCGCTCTCGGGCCACACGCAGCGTATGTTCTCGCTGACTGGGTACGGTACCGGGGACTGGCTGACTGCGATCCCAATCGAGGCCACTAGACGAATAGGCCCCGTGCACTTCGCAAACGCCATGCGGTTTCGGCTGGGCCTCCCCTTTTCAACGCCAAAGAACTGTGACTGCGCGGATCAGACAGCCATCACAGATCCCCGCCTCCCGAACCATCTCCTCCGCTGCGGCACGGGCAAGCATCGCATTAATACCCACAACGAGCTGCGGGATGCGTGCATTAGCATGGCGCAGCACGCAGGTTTCATCGTTCACAGTGAGTCGGCTGTTTACTGCCCTATCGAGGAACAAACCGCGGATTTCACCATGACAGATAGGAGCAGCGGGGCGGTTTACGTGTGTGACGTCACCATCACAGACCCAATTAGCACAAGGGACCGAGAGGCAGAGAAAGGCAGGGGCTGGGCGGCTCGGGAACAAGCGGATAAGAAAATCAAGCACTACGCCAACCGGCCGGAGACAGTGGGTTTTTTCCCACTGGCGGTGGACACCTATGGCTGCCCATGTGCAGAAGTCCCGGTCTTTCTAAAGCTACTCGCGGATACTGCGGCTCGGCGGCATTTCAACGCCGACTCTAAATCCTTCTACGCTGCCAAGTTTCTGCACCTATTTCGGCAGCGCTGGTCAGTGGCCCTTCAGAGGGCCCAATCTGTGGGTCTCCTTCTCAAGTTGGGCGAGGCGGCAGCAGCAGAGAACCCGCCTGTAGGAGGTATCGGTCAGGAACTTCACCCAGGGGACTGTTTTGCAGTAGTTGAGCCCTACCTAGAGCTCTAGAGGGGGAAGTGGGTAGGTAGTGTGGTGCTGCAGCTTTGTTCTAGTATTTCAAAAACCTGCATGCTTGTAATTTGCTCCTCTATCAATACAAGGACCATTAGAGAGAGAGAGAGAGAGAGAGAGAGAGAGAGAGAGAGAGAGAGAGAGAGAGAGAGACTTAGCACCAGCCATTGCTTTGAAGCTCCAGCATGTGCCAGCACCTGCGTTTAATGCATCACAACCAGCTTAGGCAACTTTAAGTCGCGCCAGCACTAGCTTAGGCCGTACTGCCACCTCGACTGGCCCCTACCCCCCCGTACTAGCGTGCCATGTTGATGTGGTGACCCCGACAGCAGCAGCAGTGGCCGCAGCAGCAGTGGTAGCAGCACCGGTGGCCGCAGCAGCAACAGTGGCAGCAGCACTAGTGGCTGCAACAGCAGCAGTGGCCGCGACAGTAGTGGCCGTGGCAGCATCCGTGGCCGCAGCACCTGTGGCCGCAGCAGCAGCAGCAGCAGCAGAGCCAGCTGCAGCCTCCACAACGGGGCCCTGCCTGACCCGGCCAGAACACACACCGGTACGTGGGAGCTGCAGATGGGGTTGAGACTTGTGTTTCCAGTCTTGGTGCTTGCGTAGTTTCCAGTCAAGACACCCCAGCAGTTCTTAGTGTGGGAGCTGCAACTACTTCTAGTCTTGTACCAGCCTTTGTCGCTGGCTCGCGTGCGACCTCACCAACTGTGCAGCTTTCCTTCACTCTAGACTCTCGAGCGTCCAGGTGTTTCTTTCGCGACTGCACCAACCTCACGCCACTGCACACTCCAAACACCGTCGCCTTGGCTGACCCCTCTGTGGGATCCGTAGTTGCCCACAGCACCACCATTCTCCCGTGTCCGGCGGCTCCCTCTGGGTTTGTCACATGCTACTACACCCCCTCTTTCTCTAGGAACTTGGTGGGTGTCACCTCCACGACCTCGGAGTTGTCACCACTTTCCCGTTGGATAAGCCAGTTGCCTCCTGCACTATCGGTGCCACTGGAGTTCTTCTGGCCACTTTCCATAGCGAGCCGGGCTCTGGTCTGTACTCACTACACACTGGGTCCCACAACACTGCGTCAGGTCAGATCAGGTCAGGTCAGGTCAGGTCAGGTAGCTGCTGTGCCGTGCGACTCTCGGTCACTCACCCACCCGTCGGTCCTCTGGCACCACCGTCTAGGTCACCCGTCCTTCCCACGTCTCAGTAGGATGGTACGTCACCGTCTGGTCTCAGGTCTCCGCCTGCACTCGGACCGTGGTAGTGAGTTTTCTTCCACTCGTCTGGAGACGTTTTGTCAGGATCAAGGGATCATCCAGTCTTACACGCTAACAGACTCGCCGCAGCAGAACGGGGTAGCCGAGTGACGCATCGGCCTGGTCATGGAGGTTGCCCTGGACCTCCGTGTGCCATGCCGGTGCCCCCCAGTTCTTGTGGCCTCAGGCAGTCCGCAACGCCGCGCACCAGCTGAACCTGTGGCCTAGTGACGCACGACCACGGGTGACGCTGGTCTCCCTTAGGACAGGATCTCGGGGTGTAGCAGCTGACTACCGCGTCTAGGGTTCCCTGGCCCACGTTCGCGCCCCTGGTACGAACAAGTTGTCTCCGCGCACCCGTGCCTGCGTCTTTCTTGGCTTCCCACTCGACACCTCCGGCGAGCAGTTCTACGACCCAGTTACCTGTCAGTTCTTCAGTTCCCAGGACGTCACTTTCGACGAGTCGGTCAGTTACTACAGGAGTCGCCCCCACCGAGGTTCTGAGGCCTTT